AGCCCTGTCCAGCCTGGCCCTGAACACTTCCAGGGATGGGGAGTTTATATCCACAGAAGATGGACAGAACATTTATATTATGTTTATATTGTCCCCATTTGTAGGAGCAAATAAACTTAAATCTTTTGGTCTCTTGGGACTGTATGAGACCTTTCAGGGCTCCCTGGTCCAGGGGGATCCCCTGGTGGGGCAGGACCGGGATCGGCTCCCATGGCATCGGTGAGCAGGATGGAGGCTCTGGATGGGGCACTGGGAGCCCAGGGGGGCTGTCCAGGGACACCCCTGTCCTGACACGACCAACCCCAACACAAACTGCTGTGAGAGCTCCAGCTCACTTCACTGAAACACTCAGATGGATCAAGTCTCATTTTGCTTCTTTCTTTGCCTAATTGGACAACGGGGAGATTTATGGTATAATTGAGCCAACTCAATGGAGCTGTAATTTGACATCTAATTAATCACTGTCTGTTCCTACACAGGTGCAGTGTAAGTGCTTCCTAACTGCTGCAGGCATGTTTCTATGGGAAAAAAATCCCAACTAAACCCCATTTCTTGTTTCCTTCTACGATTTCAGCACGAAAAGCTGCTGGAGAACTGTCCCTGCCCCAGGGCACGAGGAGCAGGGTGGTCACACCCCACAGGATGGGCACAGTGCAGGTTGCTGGAGGCACAGATGATCCTTGTTGCTGCTCAAAGTGAGAGAAGGAGCTTTCTCACCAAAATACTCCTCACTGCAAGGCAGGTGCCTGAGGGCTGTCAGTGGGGAGGGAAGGGATGGTGTTCCTGCAGGTGCCCAAGCCTGGTGAGTGTAGGAAGCTGTAGGGGTGCCACCAGGACAGGCAGGGATCCCAGTAAAATCCTGGCCCTGGTGGAGTTAACAGGAGTTAAAATCCTGGCCCTGGTGGAGTTAACAGGAATTTTGCACTTGACCTTAGCGAGGTCAAGGATTTTACCCAAGGAATATTAGTCACCAGCATCGAGATGAATTAGATGACTTGTCAACAACAGGCAGGCAAGGTTATTCCCGTGGGCTGCTGGGCTTGGAGTTGGAAAAGCTGGAAAAATAAATCCAGCTTCTTGCATTTCTCCCCACACTGTGTGTGATGCCTGTGGGCAACACCTGAGCATTTATCGCCCGTGTTCCCCCGTTCCTGTCCAACACGCTGGGGAGCGCTTTGTGCGGAGAGGAGGAGGGAATTGTAGGGTAACATTTCCTTGGAAAGCTTCCCAGGACCGGGCTCAGCCCTGGGAAGGCAGTGTCGGTGCAATATGGTTCATATTTCTGGGAAACACCGTCAGTGGGAGCCCCATGGAAGTGCACAGGGCTGGGAGAGTCACACCCAGCCAGCCCCACACACACACGGCTTGGAAATCCTGGCTTGGATTTCAGGATGTGACCCCCTTGGGGCTCAGTAAACCAGCAAATATGACAACAAAAATTAATTTGAATTTTCAAGCACAGTTTAGCACCGAGGAGGAAACAACATTTTAATGAGGAGGTTTGTGGGTGAACACTTTTGTTTTCCACCTGGCTCAGGAATGGTGATCCTGCCATCCCACCTGGGCACAGGAATATCTGTCTGGGCAGAAAATCTGACCAGCGTGGCCCAGGTGTGAGGGGTCATAAGAGAGCTATTTGCAAACACTTAACCAGAAGGAACACAAGAATTTCTTGGGGAATAATAGAACAAAATAGAATATTTGAAACAAAAATTATTTGCTTGTGAGCAACAAAGAATTACAGGAAGTAGTTAAATTTGTTAGAGAAATCAATGATTCTGTATTATTTGCCTGGCTAAATATCACTAATCTTCCTGTTTATACTACAAACCTTTTACCATGGAACTATTTTGTTCTCCATGTTCCCTGAGCTGCAGAAACAGGTGGCGTTACTTGTGATGTAACTCGGCCTGGGAGCAGCTCTAAGTGCTGCTCTCCCTTCATGTGATGCTGGAATGGTTTGAGTTGGAAGGGACCTCAAAGCCCATCCAGTGCCACCCTGCCATGGGCAGGGACACTTTCCACTAGCCCAGGTTGCTCCAAGCCCTGTCCAACCTGGCCTTGGGCACTCCCAGGGCTGGGGCAGCTGCAGTGCCTCTGGGCATCAGTGACATGCAGAGTTTTGAAGAAAGGAAGGGGAACAGGTTTCCCCCATTATTCCCCCCCCCCCCCACAACTCATGGCCAGGCACAGAGAAGTCTGTTCCTCATTCCTGTTCTCTCTGCAGTCCTCTGAGGAGGGAACTCGCCCTCAGCTGCCCCATTCAGCACAGGAGGGCTCCGGGCTGTGCTTTGCAGGGTGTTTGGATGCAGTGATGCAGCTGCCAATGCATTTTTGGGAATCCTCTTTCCCTGCTGTAGGTCACAGAATAATTCTGTCCCAGAATTATAAGTCCCCCCAGCAGGGACCCTGGGGAGGTCATGCAGTCTGACTCCCATTCCCAGCAGGGCTGTGCTCCAGGGGCTCCCCTGTGGACTGCACACAGCTGGAAGCCCCCCCTCATCCCACCAGTGCTCCCACCCTGCCAGTGGGAGAGCAGCTCCTGGGCTGGGTCGGCTCCCGTCCTCCCTGCAGAGGTGCTGTGTGATGGGAGCAGTGCATGGCCCCGAGGTGTGAGCCAGCTCCTCTGTGCCAGAGCCAGCCCACCACTCCCTTTGTCATCCCAGCATCGGGCGGGTGAGGAAGCGGTGCCTGAGCTCCAGTTGTTCCTGAGTGCAATGTGAGGCCACACACTCACCCAGGCTGGGATTCACACGGAAGGTCTGTGTGATGCGGCACAGAAATTACGGTGGGCACCAGCTCTTCCAGGAAAATACGCATTGTTGCCCTCACATAAGCACGATCACGTAAGTGGGAGGCAATATGGTGAAGGATTTGTTTACTGGAGAAGTGATGCTGATCTGTAAAGCTTGGAGGGTTTGGGAATTAGTCCCATTCAGGAGTGTTCACGTCTGGATTTTGGCCTGGTTTTGGGTCTGGTTTTCCAGCTGCTGGCTCAGGTTTAGATCCTAAGCCTTGGTCTGTGCCCCCAGTTTGTAGAGGGACGGGGGGAGTTGGTTTGGACTGGGAACTCTCCCTGTTGGCAGGGAGGTGATGCCTCACTGTGACAGGGGGACAGGCTGGCAGAGCCCCAGGGTCACGGCCAGGACCCCCCCAGAGCTCCCCCTGCTCCCATGGACCCCCTGCAAGTGGCACTGCTGCTGCCCCTGGGGGACACACCAGGGGTTGGTGTATCTTAGGGACAGGGCTGGGATTTATCCCTCTCCCCATCTCCGTGAGGCTCTGCTCCCCCCCCAAACCCTGCTGAAGAACAGGATTGCGCAGGGAAGGGGAACTCACACCCCCAGAGAGAGACAATGACACCTTTTGTGCTGGAAGTTGTGCAAGACAGAGGCTGTTCCTGGCAGGGAGGAGCAGATGCTCCCCAAGTCCTGGTGCTGGGGCCAAGGAGGGCCCTTGCATCCATCCCTTTGTCCAAGAGGAGCCCAGGGACCCTCTGTTGAGCCCACCAAGAGCTCTCACATTGTCATCTGCAAGGATGAGCAAACCAGCTGAGGGAATTGAGCACAGCCAGAGCCACCAACACCTTCCCCGCTCAGAGGGTGGCAGAGATTTAAATCCAAAGCGTTCCTATACATGTTGTTTTAAAAAGAACCAGTAAAAACTATTTATATATTTGCTTGAGAAGTTCCCTGCTCTCATCCTACACTAGATTGACAATTTCTGTGTTTCTCCTTTCAGGAGCATGACTAGAATAAGTTACCAGCTGAATTTCTCTTTTATTTTCCTCCAAGTTTTAATTTAAGTCAGGAGAAGTGTGGCTGAGCTTCTTATTTGAGGGAATGGTTGTCTGGCACAGGACCCAGGCTCTCTCTGACTCCAGAGCTGCACATCCCATATTGTTCCCATCCCGTTGGGATTGGGAGGCAGGATGTGAGGGCTGGTGACAGCGAAGTGCTGGTGACAGGGCTGGGGACAGCAGGTGGAACAGAGCCCTGTTTGCTTCCCACACGAGGAGTGTTACACTCATGATGCCATGACATTGATGACATCACTCCTTGGTGCCAGACTGAAACTTGGCATCCAGGTTGAGAAATACAGACTATTTTGTCTGTAAAACTTGTTTTTAGTGGCCAACCTCCCGTGTCACTGAACTCACACCGTGGTGGGTGAACACAGGGTTCAGTACAGGAGAGAATTTTGGAACTCAGGACCATAAACCCATGAGTTCACACCTAGAAATTAACTTCATTCCCCTCAGACTCAGTGGTGTGTCCTGTGGGCAAAGAAAGGATTTATTGGTCCAGGGATTGAAAATGAAATGGCTGAAATCTCCTTTCCTCGTGGGCCAGAGCAGCTGTGGAAATTTCCCCCTGTGTGCCTTTCCTTCCCCTGGCCCTGCTGCCTGGAAGTGATGGGCTTCCCACAGCCTCTGTGGCTGAACTGAGCTTTAACAAGGTTCTTCTGCTCACTTTGCCACACCCTGTGGCCTGACTCTCACCTCCACATCTCAGCTGATACGAGGGTTTTCAGGAATTTGAATGTTCCAGCGTCTCTCCAGATGCTGAGAGCTTTGGGAAGTCTGGAGCTGGTTAAGGCATCTCATGGGCCACTGGGAGAGCTCTCCTCCTGCCCCTCTGACTTCCTCACCAAACCACCCACAATCAGCAGGACAACATTCCAGAAAACAGATTCCACTGCCACGCTCTGCCAGGAGCTGCCAAACACCAGTGGGCTCCTTCTGCCACCAAGTGCAAGGAACATGTTACAGCAAAAAGCAGCTTTTCCTGATTTTCCCACCTTTTTGGCAACAACTGTTTTTTGCAATATATACGTTTTTCTAGGTTGGAAATTTTCAAATTTTATTTCTGCTCAGCCTTGACTGATCTCTGAGTTAATTTCTTCACTGGCAGACTTCTCATTCCTCCCCCCCCTTTTGCTTTCAGTCTCTCCTGCAGTACTTCCTTCACTTTGGAATCAATTGAAAGCAACAAAGAAAATCAAGCAAACTGGGAATTTTTCAGGTTTGGAGAAATTTTGAAGAGTTACAGTCAGAGAAGACAATTTAAAACAAAAAAAGGGGAAATAGAATTTAAAAATTACATTCAGTTACGAAGGGGAGCAAAAGCAGGAAAAAGAGGGAAAATCGAAACAGTTAAATATTTTAAATCATTTCCCAGCAGTGTGAAATCTTTCAGATTTGCCCAGTTTAAACCTGAAAGAAGCAGCACAGACACATATAAACAGCAAAAGGATGAAGTCCACTGGGATTAAATAATAAAGAAAATTAACTTTTTCCATCCAAGCGACTGAGGGAAACAGAAGGTCCTTAGGCCTGGAATGCTCCCGACAGCGTCAGCAGCCACCCAGACCTGGGCACAGGCTGAGGGGTTGGGGTCCAGGCTGTTTCTAATCACATTCCCTGTATTTCAGGACATTGGGCTGAGCTAAAAAACCCCTGGATTTCCCACGAGAAGGTGGAAGCTGCTCCCACACCACCAATGTCCCCGTGCCAGGGCGGGCAGGCACCACTCACCCAGTGCTGTCACCGACGGCCCCCTCTGCAAACCAGGTCTCCCCACGGGTCCCCGGGGGGCAGGAGCTGGGGCTGGGAGGTGAGGGACCCTGTCCCAGGTGTGGTGGCAGCAGAGCTACAGGTAGGTGGTGGCCTCGTGGCTGTCGCGCTGCCGCGCCTGCGCCACGGCCACGTTGAGGCACTGCAGCCACTGCCCCGCCCGGCGCTCGTCCTGCGCCTTCAGCACGTAACTCCTGCTCTCCGTGAAGATCTCGAAGGCCCGGGGCAGGCTCCGGTCCCGCCGCTTCCGCGCCACCACTTTGACACTCTGCACCTTGCTGAGCTCGATGGGGCTCTCGTCGGGGTCGTCCTTCTGGAACACAGTGGGGACAGAGCTCAGTTACCCGGGGTGAGCCACCCACCATCTCATCTGACACCCCTTGGAAGTGTCCAAGGCCGGGCTGCAGGGGGCTTGGAGCAACCTGGGCTAGTGGAAGGTGTCCCTGCCCATGGCAGGGGGTGGAGATGGTCTTTAAGGCCCCGGAAACTTGAGGACCCACCACCAACAGCTCCCGTGCAGGACGTTGGCTGGGGCTGTTCCATCCCCGGCTGTCCCTGCCACGCACTCTGCAAGTGGCAAAAGTACCACAGGCAAAGTGAAACCCTCTGGAAATGGTGTTGGGGAGCAGGGAAAGGGAGACACCAAAGGGATGGTCTCTGACTCACAGACTTTCCCTTCCGGAACAGCAGCTGGTTGCCAGCCAGGGTGAAGTAGCGAGTTTTCCACCTCTTGATGAACTTCCACCGGACCTGCTTCTCCTTCAGCTTCCCTTCGATCAGGGGTTGGCCGTCCTGGTTCACAACTGGGGAGGTGAACACACAGCCAGGGGTCAGTCCTGCCCTCCCTTTCTCCCAGCCAAAATCCAGGCCCGTGCCAGGCTGCAGGAAGGTTCTTTTGCCTTCCTCATTTTCCCAACCTCCAGCATTCATCCAGTGCCACCCCCTGCCATGGGCAGGGACAACTTCCACTAGCCCAGGTTGCTCCAAGCCCCATCCAACCTGGCCTTGGACACTTCCAGGGATCCAGGGGCAGCCACAGCTTCCCCTGTGCCAAGGCTTCCCCACCCTCCCAGGGAGAATTTCTCCCCAGTATCCATCTCACCCTGCCCTCTGGCAGTTTGAAGCCATCACCCCAATATCTCCTCTGGGTTTCTTTTCCCTTTCTCTTCTATTTTTACACCGATAGCCAGGACAGGGAGGATCAGCCAGACTGGGGGCAGCCCAAGGCACAGGCAGACTGAGAACGGATGGTTTTTGATGGGATGTTTGACTTGGAGCCCATCCCAGCATCTGTCAGACGGTCAGTTGGCCCCTGGCTGTTCTCCCACCCCTCAGCCTCAGTTTGTCCAGCAACGCTTTTCCTTGGAAGTGTTTGTTGTCATCTGGGCGCGAGGCTCTGGGAGCCCAGGGGCTTGGTGAGGATGGAGGTGAGTGGGGTGGCCAAGTGCAGCCACCCAAGGCAGTGCCTTGGGCTTTATGGCTTTTTGGGCACCTCCCTCCCACCTGGAAGAGGGAAATCAAACACCACCACAACACATCAGATGCAGATAAAGGCCGTGTCCTCTCCCTGCTGTTGTTTATGTTGGCAGGGGGGCTGCAGGGGGGACTGGAGCAATTTCCTCAGGAAAGACCATAAATATTTCTGTCTCTGTGGATGGGGAGTGTTTGGAAGGAGAGGGATGAATGAAAAGGGGGTTGGCAAAGCCCCAGTGCCGGTGGGGAACTGCAGCTGGGGTTTCTACCACAGAACCGGGTCGTGCTCTGCTCCACGTAACTCCACAACTCTCTTCCATATATTTTCATGCCAGCACTGGTGTGTTGGGTCACACCATGGGATAAAGCAAAGCAGAGGGTTGTTTTCTTTTTGCATAACTTTTGTCACTGCAAAATGGCCCAGATTTACCAGGGAGCTGGTTTGGGGCTGCCCTGTCTCACCACACGCTTGCTAGTGGGGCAGACCCACGTTTTACAGTGTCCCCCCTAATAAACACTGTGCAACTGTGTTAAATATTGTTCTCTACCTGGCTCTTGGTCTGACAGGAACACCATCCATCTGATTCCAGTGCAGTAGGGATGTGCTCTAACCCCAACTAAGAAGGTGTAAAGCACAAAAGGTTCAGGGACCAGAAGATGCTGAGATAGTTTGTGGTCAGGAGCACAACATGAGAAAGGAAGTGAATGTGCAATTTTGGCCTAAAGTGAATTTTTATGGCCAAAATCTTTCAAAATCAGAAATGTTGATCTCTCTTTAAGGACTTTAGGCAGTGCTAACAGAGCACTTCTCCTGTGCATCCACAAAGAAGCCCATGGGGATTTCTGATGTCAGTGGTTGTAATGAATCTGATGCCAGTGTGTCTGAGGGGCTGATTAGAAGAGAAAGATTCATGAAAGATAAGAATAAAGCTCTTTTCCAATATTTTTCTAAGCTCTTCTGCTTATTTTCCTTGTGGTTGACTTCACAGAACCACAGGATAATTCAGCTGGAGGGGAGCTCAGGGGGTCTCTCCCCCAACCCCCTGCTCCAAGCGAGGTCCCCTCTGGGGTCACACTGAGCTGCCCATGGATTTATCCATCCTGGACTTGATAAATCTCAACAACATCTCTGGGCAAACTGTTCCAATGCTTGGTCACCCTCGTGGTGGGAAAGTTTCCCTTTGTGGGAAGTCTGAACCTCTCCTGTTCCAATTTGTGCCTCTTGCCTCCCCCCCCCCACACCCCAGGAAGAGCCAGTTTTGATTTCTTCCCCTTGCATGAACAAGGACAAATAGAAAGTGACTGAAGAGTAATTTAAGACTGACATTCCCTATGATTATTCATATCATGGGAAACAAATAATAAAGTGTATTCTCCTTAATTTGCCCAAGCAAACATCAAGATGTGGCACAATAAATTCTACAAACAACGATTTTCTGCAGAGCAGGGAAGGGCATAAAGTGGTGCAGTGGTTACAGATAAAAAGTGGGATTATTTCTAGTCTGACATGTGGTTAAATCACCTGAGCAACAGTCTGGGCATGTCATGGGTTCTCCTTCACTTGACTTCTAAAAATCAGGTTTAGACATCTTTAGAAAAACACGCAAAAAGATAGAGATCAAAGAGAAAACCCTTCTTTGATATCAGCATTATTGGGCAGGATTCCTTGCTGTTTAGGTCAGCCTAGGTGGTCCCTAGGCTGGGTTTGAAATCCCTCTGTGTGGTGGCACCTTGACGTGGACCATGGGATCTTTAGCTTGGAAAAAGAAATTAAAAGTTCCAAAGGTTATATTTACTTTATATTTATGATTACTTTTCTTTTTTTCTTCAGAACACATAATAAGGCAAAAACTATCACCCAAAGTCAAAATCAAAAATTATTTAGTATAATACAGAACAACAGGCTGGTTTGGGTGGGAAGGGACATTAAAGCTCATCCAGTCCCTGTGCCAGGGCCTCACCACCCTCACAGGGAGGAATTTCTTCCCAATATCCCATCTAAATTTCTCCTTTTTTGGTTTGAAAAGGTCATGAAATATCTAAAGGTCTTGAAATATCCAGTTCTTAAAGCATCTTAATGTAGAGACACCAACTCCAATTTAACCCTGAATAGTTCCTGTTTGATGTGTCTGTTGGAATTATTTCCCATGTTCTGTCTTGCTTTCTCTGCAGAATTTCAGCACATCCAGCTTTAAGTAGTTTGGGCACTGAATAAAAAGTGAAAAACCCTCCAAACTCTTCCAAGATGAGACAGATAAACCCCAAAGCATTAAATCTTGCATTTGGTGAAACATAAAATCCTCCACAAGAATTCATGAATGATCTCAACGATAATAAACTCCTATGAACTTGAAAGAATGGAATGTGTGGCAGAGAAATGCAGTTAACCCCAGGGAATATGGATCCTCTCTTCCACGAATCATCACACTGGGTTTTGCTGGAGAGAACACGGCACCAAATGCCACTTTCGGTGATTTCCAAGTGAGTGTCACAGCTGGGCTCTCTGGGTCCCTGTGTGATCCCCACTGCTGGAGGGAGAGAGATGTATCCACAAGTTACTCCAGTGGGGGCTTATCCCAGGGAATTGCTTTTTTCCAGAGAATTATAGAATCACAGAATCAGCTGGGTTGGAAGGGACATCCAAGATCATCAAGTCCAACCCTTGATCCAACCCCGCTGTGGTTCCCAGCCCATGGCACTGATGTCACATCCAATCTCATCTTAAACATCTCCAGGGATGGAGAATCCACCCCCTCCCTGGGCAGCCCATTCCAATGGCTGAGCACCCTCTCTGCAAAGAAATTCTTTCTAATATCCAACCTAAACCTCCCCTGGCACAGCTGAAGACCGAGCCCTCTTGTCTTGCTGATCATTGCCTGGGAAAAGAGCCCAACCCCCCCCGGCTCCCCCCTCCTGTCAGGGAGTTGCAGAGAGTGAGGAGGTCTCCCCTGAGCCTCCTCTTCTCCAGGCTGAACACCCCCAGCTCCCTCAGCCTCTCCTCACAGCACTTGTGCTCCAGTCCCTTCCCCAGCCTCGTTGCTCTCCTCTGGACCTGCTCCAGCCCCTCCATGTCCTTCCTGAGCTGAGGGCCCAGAACTGGACACAGCACTCCAGGGGTGGCCTCACCAGCGCTGAGTCCAGGGGCAGAATCACTTCCTTGGACCTGTTGGCCACACTGTTCCTGAGCCAAGCCAGGATCCATTGGCCCTCTTGGCCACCTGGGCACACTCTGGCTCCTGTTCAGCTTCCTGTCCATCCCCACTCCCAGCTCCCTTCCTGCCTGGCTGCTCTCCAGCCACTCTGTCCCAGCCTGGAGCTGCCAGGGGTTGTCATGGCCAAAGTGCAGGACCTGGCCCTTGGCCTGGTTGAACCTCATCCCGTTGGAATCAGCCCAACTCTCCAACCTATCCAGGTCCCTCTGCAGAGCCCTCCTGCCTTCCAGCTGATCCACACTCCCCCCCAGCTTGGTGTCATCTGCAAATTTGCTGATGATGGACTCAATTCCCTCATCTAAATCATCGATAAGATATTAAACAGAACTGGGCCCAACACAGATCCCTGGGGGACACCACTGGTGACCAGCTGCCAACTGGATGCAGCACCATTCACCACCACTCTCTGAGCCCGGCCCTCCAGCCAGTTCCTGACCCAGCACAGGGTGTCCCTGCACAGGAATTCACCAAACCCCCTCAGTTTCACCCCAATCATTGCCCACGAGCACGAGGGCTCTGGTGCAACCCCCAGGGGTTTCTGCCGTGGCTCTGCAGGATTCCAGAGCAGGGAATGTGCTGCAACTCCCTCACTGCCCGGCAAGTGGTTTTCCAGAATTGTTTTGTGCCAGAGCTCGTGAAGCCAACTGTCAACAGGGGGTTGTGTTGAAATGAGGCTCCCAACAACCAGCTCTTCCTAAGGAGAGGAATTCTCAGTTTACCAGCATTCCAATGCCTTGTGACTGTGCCTGAATGTCCATAACTTAAGCAAATAATAGTGTAGGCTGGTTTTCCTGCCCCTGAGACCAGGGCACGTACGTGTGTTTGAGGACGATTTGTGGGAATGCTCTTCCTCAGTGGCAGGGAAAACCAATTTGAGATGATTTAACAGCACCTCTGGAAATGTATGGTTGCACAAGACATGCTTTGCAACCAAAGGAATGCATGAGAAATACTCCAACTTTCTCTGGGTTCGTTGCCACTGTGGGTTCATCCAGCAAGTTGCTGAAGCATAACTGGCTCTTTCCACACAGGATCAGCCTCCAAGTGTAGTCCAGCTCCAAAAATCCGCCAAAAAGTCAGTGATCACAGTATCATGGAATGGTTTGGGTTGGGAGGGACCTTAAAACCCATCCAGTGCCACCCCCTGCCATGGGCGGGGACACCTTCCTCTATCCCAGGTTGCTCCAAGCCCCATCCAACCTGGCCTTGGACACTTCCAGGGCTGGGGCAGCCACAGCTTCTCTGGGCATCCCAAGGTCAAGGCCTTAGGACAAAATGCTTGCCCAAGTCTGGAGGATAAAAGGCATCTTGCAACACAGCATCCAAAAAAATGCAACAAAACCCCACATGAACAGAAACCAGAAGACAATAATAGAAAAAGAATTTGCCTCTGAATTCCTTCTCCAAGAAGAATTAGGTTGCTAAACTGCATTGCTGAGAGGAAGAAATTACTGTCTTGTCTTTCAAAAGTATTTGGGGTTTCAGAGTGTCTGTCCCACTCTGAAATGAAAATAAAAGATGTTTCACAGCCTTCACATTCCTCATCAAGCCAAGGAGACCTTAAAATCGTCTTTCTTGTGTCAGATCTTATAAATCCAGAAAAACCCCGGAGGGTCCCACTCTGGACTCTTCCCAGCTGCCACAGCTCCCCCTCACCAATACAGAGGGGAATTTGCCATTCCCTGCAGATTTTATTCCACTGAGCTCTACCTTCCATGTTCCTTTCCTGAGTTTTCACATGGCCCATTCAAGACTTTATTTCCTTGGCCTTCTAAAGGCCTTTGGAGCAGAGAAGCAAATCATGATATATTCACAATGTGCCTTTCTTACAAAGTTATCTTTAAACTGAGACAGAGAGTCATTGCCCATAAAAAGGACAGTTACCACCCAAAAATATTCTGTGCCCATTCCTCCTGCTCCTGCCCATCCTCAAAGGCATCCCTGAACTCAGCCCTGGCTCCAAAGCAAAGGGGAAATGGGGATTTTGTGGGTGCTGATGTTTATTAGTCTTCTCCTGCCTCACACATCTCCAGAGAGGGGGGATTTTGGCACTTCTTGGGAAGCACAGAACAGCTCCACTGCTGGGTGGAACCTGTTCAGGCTGGATGGCAGAGCTTTGGCTGCATTAATCATAGAATCAGAGAATCATAAAGGTTGGAAAAGACTTCCAGGATCAAGTCCAACCTTTGACTGACACCACCATGTCAACTAAATCATATTGTGAAATGCCACATTTACTCACTTTTTAAATCCCACCAGGGATGGGGACTCCCCCTCTCTCTGACTTCTGGGCCTTCACAGGACACCCCAAGAATCCCACCCTGTGCCTGGGCCCACTGTCCAAACACTCCTCTTTGGACCAGTTAAATGCCTTTGGAAATTCAGCCCGAAGCTGTTTCATGAAGCCTTGACATTTTAAGCAGGAGACTCCTTTCCCTTGCAGCCTGACACCCGTCTGTCACTGGTGTGAGGGACAAACCACACTCAGACCACTGTGGATGTGAAATTTTGGCTCAAAGTGTGATTTCTCTTGTGGCTATCGAGTCCCATGGGAGTTGTGGAAGGAGGAAGGTGCTCAAGCCCCACGGAAAGAGCAGGGGCAGCCTGGCCTGCAGCAGGGGCTGTGCCACCCTTGCAAGACTCACTGAGGAGTACAAAGAGAGTTGTTAAATAGCTGAAAAATCCAATTATTCAAAGGCTTGACCAAAATATTCCAAATTCTTGGCCAGAACTGGGCAGATTTTTAGAGAGTGGCAAAACCCACCTAAGAACAAGCCATTCCTCTGTGTTTCAGTGCACTGATTTAAAACACGTGAGGGCCAGAGAGCTTCAAAACAGCTCACCAGGATCTTCTACCTGGGAAAAAGTCTGTTTGCCTGTTTTCCACTGCCCCTCTTTTCCAACACAGCTGAAGCATTCTGGCTGTTATTTCTGGACTGGGCACACACCAGGGCAGGTCTGTGCTTGCCTCTCTCATCGGAGAAACCGAGAGGAGGGTAATGGAGAATTCCAATTAAAAGAGCCACTGGAAAGTTTGGTTTCCCTTTTCCCCAACACTTGCCACCACCACCAGAGATGAGCTTCACTCCCTCCATCCTCCCCCCTCCCCACACCCCCTCACCAGTGGCAGGGGCTGGACCTGCCCACGTACCTGTTGCCTTCTCGGGGTTATTGCACATGAAGCACTGCCAAGCTCCTGCCTCCTCGCTGTAGCCAAACAGATCAAAGAACCTCACTTCTTCCAGGTGCATCTGGACGTGGTCCAGGTCCTGGGCCAAGAATGAGAGAAACCAAACTCACTCAGGAGGTGAAGCACTGCAAGCCAACAGCTCATAACCCCAAAGCCCAGAGGGACTCACAGCGAGGGCCCTTCCCGTGTCTGCTGTGGATGGACAACCTGCCAGGGCCAATGTGCTCAGCAGGACGTGTCTCTCTCCCCACCATCAGTAGCAGCTGATGTATAAATCATAGATTGGTCTGTGGGAGGCAGAGAATGGGGTTTCTTTTGCCTCCTCAGCAGCGCAGCCCGGCACGTTCCCCAACCTCAGAGCACAAGTGTGATGGGGAGCAGCTGAGGGAGCTGGGGGGGCTCAGCCTGGAGAAAAGGAGGCTCAGGGGGGACCTTCTGGCTCTGCAACTCCCTGACAGGAGGGGGGAGCTGGGGGGGGTTCGGGCTCTGCTCCCAGGGAACAAGGGACAGGAGGAGAGGGAATGGCCTCAAGTTGTACAATGGGAGGTTTAAGTTGGATATTAAGGAAAAGTTCTTCATGGAAAGGGCTGTCCAGCCCTGGCACAGCTGCCCAGGGCAGGGGTGGATCCCCATCCCTGAAGGGATTTAAAAGCCCTGTGGATGTGGCACTTGGGGACAGGGGTCAGTGGTGGCCTTGGCAGTGCTGGGGATGGTTGGACTTGATGGTCTTAGAGGGTTTTTCCAACCTAAACAATTCCATGTTTCTGTTATCCCCAGGGTTTTTTCAATGCTCCAGAAGGTTGTGGCCTCTGCTGACACAATGCAGTGCTGGGCACTCCCTCCTGTCCCTCCAGATCTCCCATCAGAGCAGGGGTGACAAGCCAGGGAAGCAGGACTGTGAATCCCCAAAGAGAAGTGAACATATGACTTGCTCAGAGGAACCTACATAACATAGACTTGCACCTGTGAGTATGGGAAAAGCCAGAGGATACTCATTTTGAGGTCATTAATAACAGTGTATAATTCAGTGTATTTTATTTTCATTTTGAAAGCAATTCTGATCTCACACCTAAACAAACGTTGGTGTTAAATAACACCAGCCAAGTTACTCACTGCAAACACGAAGGGCATTGCCAGCACTGCCCAGAAAACCCTGTTTGTGTAGGGTCTCCACAGGTCTGCAACACCCCAAGCTGCAGCCCAAGGAAAACACGGATTTATGCAGTCAGTGGGGAAAACACCATCCCTTGCCAGGGCCATTAGTCCATCACACTGAGCAAGGCTCTGCAGAGGATGCAGTTGTCCAATTCCAGCCTTTTTAGACAAACTTTAGCATAGCAGAGGGAGCAGGGCACGGTCAGTGACTTGTCCTACCCCCGATGTGCCCCAACCTCCTGCTGTGGCACCTTGGAGGGCACAACTGGGCAAAATGATGGCATTGCCCTCCCTGGGTCTGTGCAGCACATTCTAGGACATGGGGACAGGCTGGACAGAAAGCCTGGGAGCTTCCCCATCCCGTGAAAAAATCTGACAGTGTTTGCACTGAGCCAACTGTGGCCTGAAAGAGAGCAAATACCAGTGAAATATCAGGGCACCAATCTGGCCTCTCCCCTCTGTACTCGAGCACGCTTGAAATCCCCTGCAATAAGCCACTTATTTCAGGAGCGGAAGCATGGGGGAAAAGCCTAATTGGAGAGGAGAGATTTATCTCACCCCCCTGCCCCATAATCTTGGAAACTTCAGTGAGTCCATTGTGCAAACGTGGAGCTTGTTCTGAGACAGCGACGGGGAAAGGGAGGGACAGTGCGAACAACGGCTCAGAAATGTGAGCTCTGCTCTCGCCAGGCTGAGCAACAAAAGGCTCTCTGAGGGCATCACATGGGGCTCGTAAAGCATCCCCATCTCCCTGCTCTGCCCCACGTGAGGCAGCACAAAGAGCCAGCCCCGAGCTCCAGCCCGGCCCCGGCTGCGCAACGCGGCCCCGCGGCCTTTGATAAAGAGCTGTGAAGCAACCGAACGGAAATCTGGAAGGATGTACATCTGGAAGTGCTTTGCTTCTGGCACATCCTAAGCCCTGTTGGATAAATATTTCTTTGTGGCACGAAGAGGCTGCCCAGCGAAGCACAGCGTGCTCTGTGTGAGCCAGGTACTCGCCGCGGGTCTGGGCCAACCTCGGGAGTCGCGGGCGGTGACGGAAATCTGAAAACATTTCTCAGAATTTAGTCTGGAATAAAGCACTGATGTAATGGATTTTTCTCCAGGTTTGAAAAATGCTTTAGAGTCCACAACTGGGAAAAAGAATAAATTAACATATTCTGGATTAGACACAGGAGCAGAGGACGAACATGAAGTGATGGCAGAGCAGTGTTGTGGCACCGTCGTTCCTGTTGAGTGCTGGGGGTCAAACCTTCCTCACGTGCTCACAGAAATTCATCATCATCATCACAGAATGGTTTGAGTTGGAAGGGACCTTACAGACCATCTAGTGCAACCTTTCACAGACCAGGTTTCTCAAATTCTGATAACACAATGCATAAGACTCAATGTAAAATATAACAGGCAATGTTGATGCTGCACTGGAACTGTCAGATTCCAAAACATTTCCAGTTAAAAGTGCTGCACTTAATGAAGCAACCACACTCCCAGCATTTTGCTTCCTGAACTACTGGCATTAACAACTACAATAATTTTGTCAAATAATTCACAGTATTTGAAGTTCTGTTACAAATGGGAGGAACTTCTGAAATGACAAACTCAGATTATGGCAGAAGGTGAGCTTGTCAAGCAAAGTAAGGACTAGGTCATGGCAGGAATTTCCCAGGTAGAGTTTTTGGGAATGTAAAAGCCAAAGAAGACCTTCTCTATGGCAGTCCTAGACGTCATTCCCAGAAAACTCTGGGAATGTACTTTTCTCAAAAAACTGAATGGAAATTGCACTAGAAACAAACTCGGATTCTTATCAACAAACAAACCCCAAACAAACTCAGGTTCTGTGTCAATAAACTAAACCAAACCAGAAAGCACACCCAGCAGCAAACTGTGGAGCCCAAGACTGAGCTTTACAAACCCCTTCCCAAGCCAGATGAGTTCCATCTGCCCGACTGTCCCAAGGGCTGTTGGCCAATCCCAGCTCGGAAGCTCCCCAACCCCAATTCACTGCTCGGTTCATTCACCCAGCGAAGATCAGGATCTCATTTCCCAGCTCTGCTATTTTGGGAACTCAGAGATACTCTGACTGTCGTGGGCTGATGAGAGTTCCCAAAATAGGCCAGACACTTGTATCTGAGCACTAACAGGGTTATGCAACCACGTGCTGGAGACTAATCCCATTGCCAGGGTGTTGGATGTGTTTTGTAGACTTTGTGTGCCTGGTGCAGCACATCCAATCTGCCCAACGACTGCCATGAAATCTTCCCTAAGCTCTTTATTCACCCCAAGCTCCTTCACACTCCACCAGCTCCGACTTCTGACGAGCAGATCTCGGCACGGGCTCAAGTTAAGCCAGTGTTGAGCAGCAAAGCTGTTCTAATGCCTCTGGATGAGTCAGGCTGGGATTTCAACAGCAGCTAAAATACTCAGCACAAGCTCCACTGTGTCTAAGTAAAACTGGCCCCAAAACTGGTCTCACATGTGGGGGTCTCCCACTCCTCTGACAAGCCACAGCACGAGTTCCCACTTCAGCATAACGTTATCTTGGGGGTTCAGAAGGTGTTTCTAACAAAACCCCTGGTTTTAAATCAGCCACAGCCTTGATAATTTAATCTTATTCCGTGAGACATCTCCATGCCCACAATATTCCAAGAGAGAGTATTTTAAAATCACGTTTGACAAGTCGTTTCATCCCGTTGAGCTGGATGGAGACGCTCAGGAATAAATAGATATTTGTTTTACAATCCTCCAGCTGCCTTTTCCAAGAAGTCTGATTAATAGCTTTGGAATAGCACTCGCTGAAATCCCAGAGACAGTAAACAGCTTTGAGCAAGTAATCTTTTAAACCGAGGGGGGCAAGGAATGGCACACGTACGCACCATCATTTCCATAGAATCCAAGGCCCTGTTTAACCAGGTGAACTTCCCAGGAGCTGCCCAACACCCCACAGCAGCAGCTAATCTGAATCTTGAGGTGAAAGCTGTGAGCAGGAAAAAAACCATGGGCAGCATCCCTAATTTTCATCACTTTGGGAGCAATTCACATGGAGAACGAGCCTGGAGACCTTTCAAATAACAGCACAAAACACCCCTGTGGACCCTCTGTGGAGCAAAGACTCGCTGTAGTTACTGTAAAGGTCTTTGTACAGCTGTTCCAAAATGCAGGGTAAAGTCCTTTTACCATTTTTATTTGTGAGAAAAATAAACTCTCACCTTTTGGTGGGGGAATGTCGACTGGATCATGGCAGTTTCAAAGCTGTGCGTCCCCTTGAGCTGAGTCTTCTCCCACAGGGCCTTGAGGACTTGCACGGAATTGCTCTGTATGGACAAGGGTTCTGCAAACAAGCTCTGGAAAGATGGTGAAAACAGGATTTCAGGCATTTTTTGCTTGGCCATTAACAAAGAACATCTTGGCCTTGCCATGAGAGTAACCAGGGGTTGGTTCAGCTCCAGGTAAGGAGTTCTGATGGATCAATAGACACACAATTAGATACACCCTCAAATATTCCATTTCCTCTGGGGCTTTTTAAATTGGTTGTGTGTTCCATGTCTTTGAGGTCTGTGGCTCACCAAGGATTATCTCCCAGCCACCACTGCACAACTTGCACACTGGTTTTGCCTTGAAATGCTCATCTCTCACCACCTGAGCAGCACTGGCCTCCAGGACCCAGGGATCTCAGGGATGTGCATCTCTTTGGGAAGATGTGGCATTTACCAGGCAGTGGGAAGAGATGCTTCACTCCACTCCAGGTTTGTGTATGTTTGTTTGGACCTCCTTCAGCTCTCGGTCTTTGTGCAGGGAGGAGTAACAGGACAATGTTTGTGCCTGCACTGGACAGACAGTGGACAAAATGCGAGAGGAAAACCCCCCCGAACATGCTCAGCACAGGGTACAGGGGTTTTCAGCCCAGGGACATTCACAGAACAAGATGAAACCTTGTTGAGTTGGGTGCTCTCCCCTCCAAAGCTCCCTCTGTCAAAGGACACAACCTTCTACACCTGGAATTATTCTCATAATTGAACACCACTGAGTTCTTCAGTTCTAAACTGCTCTCAAAGCCCATGTTACGAGAACACTGTGGCTGAGAGAGCAAAATGTTTCTGTCTCTACTGTGTCTACTATATGAGCCTGGAATTAAAAAATGCATTTACAGGTAGGAGCCAAGAGCTCACGAAGAAATCTGATTTTCCACCCTACAGCTATTTGATTTCACAATCTGAGCAACGTCCTTTGAATGGAGGATTCCTGGATGGACGTTCTGTCTCCTCTTTCTAAGCGACCCCGTCAAGCCTAATCCTGCTGTCCTGCACTGATAATTTCCCAATGTCCATCCAAGGGTTTCGAAACACGATGTAAGTCTTCACTAATATTTTTCAAATTAACTAACCAGCGTTTTTGAAAAGCAGTTTTTGTGCTTATTTCTAGGAATACACGCAGGGCAGAGCCACCAGGGCTGTTAAATTTGCAGTATCCCTTGCTGTGGATGTGTTACATTTTGGATCAATCCTGGGTGTTTCCAAGGCTGAATTAGAGTGGGATGAACTGGATGAACAGCTCTACGTAGGTTAAAAAACTGAGCCTTATATTTTAACTCAAAACTCACCTGTTTCACCTTGAAGTGGGATTGTAGGGGTTTCTCTTACAGTTTAATACTATTTGTAACCTATCAGGAAATCCCACACATGTCCAAATATTGGGCTGTACTTGGAAAGAGTATTAAACACGAGAAAATCACTTCAGGGGAGGTAGAACAGTGCTGATCAGATTTACAAATCCTACTCCATCAAAACTTGTGCACTAAAATATCCCAGTGGGTTCTGCACCTCCAACCTCCTCCTGCGGCCTGGGGGTTGGTTCTGCTGCCCTGAAAATCCACTGCCATGCTCCTGGGGGCTTGCAAGGCACCTGGGATTTGCTGGAAGTTTTGCCTGAATGAGGACAATGTGGTTTGGTCCCACTTTTTCATCCCCAGGCTTTGCAATCTCCCCAGCCGGTTTGAACTCGGGGTATTAATAGAAATACAAAAGCTCATAAAGTGCAAAATCACTTCAGCCCAGCTGAATGACTGTCTGAGGCATCACGAGGGTCACATATTACAGTGAATTAGAAGTGTATTCAATGAGATTAATGCCTAAACATTTTTCCAAGTGCAACAGGGACGCCCCAGAGGTGCCACTGGTTTGTGTCCCACGCACCTGCTGGAAGAGGAACATGATGTGGATCCACAGGGGAGGCTGACGGCTCACCAGGGTGAAGCTGGACGTGCTGTACAAGCAGTAGTGGCCCTTCAGGGGACAGCTGAAGAACAGCTTTGCTACACAGCTTCTGACAGTGTCTGGGGAGAAACATGAAGCACATTAAAATCACCCACAGAAATGAGAGAAACCAAAGTGCCCCTTCCCAGGGCAGGTGTGGCCACGCAGTGTGTGGGCAGACAGCTCCACTTTGGGGCTCACTCCTTGGCACTGCTGTGTCTGCACCCCCAAAGCAGGAGAGAAATTCAGTCTAATGAGGCTTCTTTGTTACCTCCAACAGTGGTGTCATTTTATAGCCCCTGTGAACGGGAACAAGCAGCTATCCAAGGGAAAAAGGCACGGAAAAGAAAAGGAGGAGCTCCTTAGATGATGACCTGGATGCCAGTGCAGGAGAGAGCTGCAGGCTCAGCACACGTGTGGGGGGATGGACTGGGAAGGGGTCACAGAGCCAGGACTGTCCCGCAGCCCCCCCAGGGTGAGTCACCCCCAGCACCAGCTGGGCAGGGGCTGACTCACAGTCTCATGCTGCCCTGGTGAGTCACTGTGAGGGGAAGGTGGAGGAATAAAGTGCTCTAAGGAAACCTCCTAACTGGAAAAATGAGCTGTGACTTTTCAGCAAACGTGGCTGACAGGAGGTGGTTTCTGGACCTGCTGACAAGAGGAGTCAGCAGCAAGGGAGGCTGAGAGCACGAGGCAGCCTGGCTGTCCAGCCACAGACCAGCTTGGAACACTTGGTTTCAACATTTTCGTCTAACCAAGATGTGAAAGCTCGGGAAAGAAATGAAATAAATGCAGTATTTCACATGAAATCACGACATGAGGAATGAGTTTACCAGAGGTACAAAGGGATGGGTCACCAGAACAAAGTAACAGTGGTCAAATTGTCACTGAAAATGCAGAAAATTCAAAACTAGGGTGTTGGAATCTGCCAAAAATGCTACAGAGAGGCCAGATGGCCAGGAGAAAAACCAGCCTGGGAGGCTCCAGCCTCTGGTAACAACTGAGAAAAGGTGCCCAGTGCCAGGTGGGACTGGGAATCTCAGAATCCCAGAATGGTTTGGGTTGGGAGGGACCTGAAAGCTCATCCAGTCCCACCCCCTACCATGGGCAGGGACACCTTCTACCGTCCCAGGTTGCTCCAAGCCCCATCCAACCTGGCCTCGGACACTTCCAGGGATGGGGCAGCCACAGCCTCTCTGGGCAACAAGGGGGTGAAGGAGGTTCCTAAATACCACAGAACAAAAAATGACAAAGATGTGTGGAGAGACACAAACCCTTAAGAAATTGCTTAGCAAGACTTTGTGGATGACACTGAGAAAGGTTCTGAGGCTGAGAACATGTGCCAAAATCGACATCAGCTCCAGCACTGGAGCCAAGGTTGGCTGAGCAGGAAGTTCCTGGAAAAAAGCAGCCTTGATTTGTCAATACCAAGGGCAAAAAGCCTGCAGCCCAGACAATCTGCAAACCTCTGCCATGAGAGGGGCTGTTACAGCTGTTCCTGCTGCTGGATGTGCTGAGTGTGGCAATGTCTGAGAACGAGCCCAACTTGCTGCGGGTGTTTTTCAACCGTTTGCAATGAACTACCAGTTTCAACACACAAGAGCTGATCTCAGTTATCCCAGTGTCAGCAGAGTCACAGAATCGTGGAATGAGTTGGGTGGGAAGGGACCTTAAAGACCATCCCATTCCACTCCCCTCCCCTGGGCAGGGACACCTTCCACTGTCCCAGGTTGATCCAAGCCCTGTCCAGCCTGGCCTTGGACACTTCCAGGGATGAGAAGGAAAAAGGTGCTTTTAAAATCATTGCAGTGTTTACAAATTGCTTGTAACTCAGTGTAATGTGCAGTTTAAGATACATTTTGGACTTTCCTAAAACACAGGTGCATAAGTGGGCTCAGTTCTAGGTAAGGTGTGGTTCACACTTCTCCCAGTCCATCATGGCAAGTTATATGAACACTATGGATAAAATGTCCACCTTGAGTAATCCTCATGGATTTCAGCGATAAGGCAGAAATAATTCAGCATAAAAAGGCCTATTCACAACAAACCAAAACATTTTTGGTAGGAAGAACAGAACCAAATCACTTGCAGCCTTGAGTTAGCAAAAAAGGTAAAAAGAAAAACAATCCCAGGCTGGGAAGGTGGAGACAACTCAGTTCCCTGAATCCCTCTGTAATTCCATTACACGTAACTGCACACCCTAAATTCACCTGGTAAGGAAAGATTAATTGGGTCCCAGGAAACTTTCAGGATATCAGTAAGATACAACACACAGGGTCCTGTCACCAGAACCTCCTTGCTCTGCAACTGCTCCCCCAGCACAAGGCACGTCCTGGCGAGTGCTGGTGATCCAGTGGTGACTAAAGGTCCTTTTGATGTGATTTAAAGCAATGAAATCCAAATTATGGTCAAGATGGATATGCAGCTCTTTAAAATAAATGGTCAGAAGCATGTAAGGGAGAGAGGAAGGAAAAATTAGCTGACTTCCCCAAGGGCATTAAGCCTATTATGTTGGTCACATTTAAGCTACACTTTTACAGGCTTTAGAACCAGTTTTGTACTCTAAAAACTCCTGTCAATTCTAAATCCTGAAAGCAAATTTGAAGGAGGGTTTTTATGCCAGCCTCTGTTTCCCTGAGTAACCTGTCCCATCTGACCTGAATTAGGATTTGTGGAAACACCCTTTATTTCATCCCCTGGCTCTGTGACTGGAATAGCACTTCTGCACTGCAGGGCTCAGAGAGGGGGAGGCTGAGGGAAAGGGAATGACAAAATCCCAGAGACAGACTCGTCTCGTGGCTGTTTTGGGTGTGAGCTCTGGAGCTGGACCATGGATACGACGGCTTTGCCTGGGCCAGGACAATCCCTGGCACCTGTCAATGCACCAGAACATACTGATGGGGAGGAAAGGGGGTCCCAGCCTGTGACCCCCACCCAGGTGGAAAGGAGCCCAGGCTGGACCTCCCCTGTCTCAGCCAAGGGGCTCTGTGCAAGGTGGGTTTATGGGGTGAGAAGTCTGTGTGAGCGGCTGAGATCTCGTTTGGACTCAGCAAAGGAGGGGAGTTCATGTCTCTGCTTCATCTCAGCAGCACCAAAGCCAGACCTCTGGCTCAGGGTCTGGGTAACACTGAGCAGGCACAACAAACGCCTGTTTTATCCAGTTACTTGGAATTATCCCTATGGATGAGCACCTCAGAGCAAACCTCAGCCAAGGCGTTGGAGGGCTCTGGGCACCCCCCACTCCAGCAGCTCCTCACCTCACATCCCCCAGGCACTGGACCTGCTGCACCCCCATCCTGCTCCCCTGCAGCGCTGGCAGCACCAGCTGGGGACACTTGGGAACATCTTCTCCATGAAGGGTGAGTCTATAGGATCGTGGAATGGTTTGGGTTGGAAGAACCTTAAAGCCCATCCTGTTCCACCCCCACCTTCTGAGTAAAGAATTCCTTCCCAATATCCCATCTATCCCTGCCTGTGGCAGCTTGAAACCACTGCCCTTTGTCCTGTCACTATCTACCAAGTTCCCCTCCTTCCTCAGCCTGGCTGGGCTTGCCTTGTAAGGAGAGTCCAAGTAACACAGGAGAAGGATTCTAGAACATGAAGAACATGTGAGCAGCAACACAAGACACAAACCAACCCCACACAGGCACCAAATGCCCAGATGGCTGGTCAAGATCCCCAAGGAAATGTTCCTTAGTCAAGAAACATTCCCGCCTCTTGGCAAGTCTCTGAATTCTAGCAAGAGAATAAGCAACAACTTGTTTTTCCTACAGGAAACAAGAGAATATATGTTGCAATTTTAAAGTTCACAACTAAGTGGTTGTGCCTGGGGAAAAAAAGAACAAAATAAAACCAGAAGAACGTCAGTAGAGTTGTTAATTGTTGCTTATTCCAGCTCCACACGCTGTGCTGAACCAGGAGGGTACAGAGTCACTGGTTCTGGGAACAATCAATGCATTATTTGATTTGCATTGGTAATCCTTCACTGTTAAATAAAATCTGTTAATAGGAGGAGAAGTATGCTCATAAATTTCCTAAATAGAATCAAACCCACACATAAACATGGAACCAATAAGAAATGGATATGACTTTTTAAATTTTGGTTTTAAGCTTTTTCGGCTTCCTCAGTTTCCTTTGCCTGATCTCTTCGGTTTGGGTTACACAAAGTATGCAAACAATAAATACATTTATAGGAGAAAAGGGTAATTTTTAGAGCAGCCACCTTCAAGAAGTGCTGATTTGTATTGTTTTTACCACTGCTAGCTTTGTGTGCATGCCTTAACTCCATCCAGCAGATTTCACCTCCAGTAAGTTACACAAAACTCAAGGGAAAAGGCAGGGCTGGGATGGGGTATGGACAGGTACAACAATGCACCCAACACATAGAGCCCAAACTCTGGCAAATCCAGAAGCTCCGAAGTCATGGAGTCACAGACTGGTTTGGGTTGGAAGGGCCCTTGAAACTCATCCCATCCCATCCCACCCCCTGCCACGGGCAGGGACACTTTCCATATGCCAGGTTGCTCCAAGCCCCATCAAAGTCCAAGTGCTCCTGTTTATGGCCCCGCCCAGGAGTTTCCCAGGCAAAGCCCATGTGGAGAGCAGCCTGTTCCAAGTGCTGCTTCCAGGGCAGGAGTGACACACCCAGGGTCTGTCACCACGTGTGTGGGGGCAGCAGGTTCAGAGCTGTCCCTGTTCCCGTTACGCTCCCCGGGGAGTTTCCCCGTCTGACGAGGACCACCATGAGCACGGGGGCCATCCTGAGCGTCAGCACACATTCCCACTGCCTGTCCTCCTGGATGGGATGCCTTTGGAACACCAGCCCTGCAGAACTCAGAGCCAGCTCCTATTTGCTGTGGCCCAGCGGCCCCAGCACCGCTCTCTGGGAACGCTCTCCTGAGCCTGCACAGCTCTGTGATCCCACTGAAGGACCAGAGGCCCATCTGTTCCAAATCAACGCTGGGCTCATGGAATGCTGGAATTCCTCAGGCCGGTGCAGGGTGAGCACTGCAGGGGAGCAATGAGCCTTTCCATCCACACCGTCATATGGTCCCGATTACCTCCCGGTACCCCATAAAACATAATAACTACCAGATTTAGGGCCAGCATGCTGCAACCTGTTTCCCCTGCTGCCTCCTCCTCTTTCAGCATTCTGTCATTAATCCCATGAAATGTTTGCTGGATATTTTTCCTCCCGAATGGCACCGAGGAGCCAGCAGTGACTTACTGCTGGAAAAAGGCTCTAATACTTTTCACTGGAGTACGTTGTGTTTGAACGTGGCTGCAGTGACCAAGGGTGGAATCATTCCACGATCTCCCTGGACTCTATCCTTTCGAAAGGAGGCTGGGCAGACTGGAGATGGCAAATCCCTCAGCATCCTCAACACACAGACATGGTCAGGTGCTTCCTTCCAACAGCTCACTCGACACTCAGAGCTCTGGGCTGTTGGCATTAATGGGGGTGTTTTTATCCAAATTAGTCAAAAAGCAACCAGAACTACAGTGGAAAACATTTCCCTCATTATAAGCAAACCCAGCAGCTGTACAAGCCTGTGTCTGGGAATCATCTGAAAGCAGCCCCTCCCAATGGCAGGATACACATGGCCATGGATCTGATCCACCATCCCGGTGCATCTGGGAAACAAGAGCGGGTCAAAAGTCCTCTGACCTGTAGAGGGTCAAGGTGAGAGCCAGCAAGGCTGGGGCAGGTGGGGCTGCAGCTGCTCCAGAGCCCTGTGCTGCCTGCAGGGTGACGGGGGCCACGCCAGGTAAAACTGGGAGGACTCAGCTCCCACCTGGGTGCTGTGCCCTTCCCAAAACCAACACTGGCAGGTCTTAACACCAGTAATCATAGAAACATCAGAGAACCACAGAATGGTTTGGGTTGGAGGGACCCTAAAGGTCACCCGGTGCCACCCCCTTGCCATGGGCAGGGACACCTCCCACTAGCCCAGGGTGCTCCAAGCCCTGTCCGACCTGGCCTTGGACACTTCCAGGGATGGGGCAGCCACAGCTTCTCTGGGCAACCTGTGCCAGGGCCTCCCCACCCTCAGACCAGGTAATAACAACACCCGATACAGGGATTCCATCTTGCACCAAAGCCTTTCAAAGCAACTTCAATCACCACCAGCCCCACCTCCCCAGAAGGGTTTGGGAGACATGGAAAAACAGGAGGGCTGAAGGACCTGTTGGACAGCACCGAATAAAACCAGTGGGGAAACTGGGGGACCTTGATCTCAACCACAGGGACCCCAGTCCCACTGGGGCAGCAGAAATCCCACCCAGTGCTCACTGAACAGCAATAACCAACCTTGGGAGCATTCAGGAATTTCCTGAGGCACGGCCTGGGCCTCTGGAATCTGCAAGATCCTGGGGGTACCGATAAGATACGGGATCACAAACCATCTGGAAAAATATGGGCTGATGAAAACTATTTGCTTAACTCCATGAAAGCTGAAGGGTATGACAAATATGGTGGGGTTTTTCCCTTTTTTTTTGAGGAAAAGATCCCGAGGATTAAGGGGATTAAAGTGATAAACATGATGTAAAAGAATTCCTCAAACTGCTGAAGGTATGGCAGAGATGTGGATCTGGGCACAGTGCTTCAAACTAAGCAGGGACTGACCCAAACCATCAGCCCCAAGCTGAAACAAGCTCAAATAAATGGATTTTTGTGGGTTTGGGTTCCTTCTTTCTGACCCAGCTCAAATCCCCTCTCTGACTGCAGTCTCCCAAAAAATTCACTTATACATGTGAGTCTGGGGTGCTGTTGGAGCTTTTCTGCTCTTTGAAACACCCTCAACTTTGCCATTTTCTTAGGGCAAGACCTTCTGGCCAACAGCCCAGCCCTAACCGTGCTCCTGCTGTAGGATCATCACCCCATTCACACTCTGCCTCTGCCCAAAGCACATCCAGCCAAAAATAGCAACTTTTAAATGAGATAACAGAGCTGACATGGCAATTTTTCAATGTCTTTATGAGGCATCTTCAAACTGTCACAGACAGTTCATGGATCCACCCTGACAGTTCTTCACCTGCCTCCCTTCAGAGCTGTAAAACCCAACACTTCAGCTGATATTACATCAACTGGGACGTATCGTATAAATCCAACAAGCTTGTAAGTCAACAAGGAGACTGAAAATCACAGCCTGCAAAGCACGAATGTTCTGTGAGGGTTAAGACCTGCACAGCAAATGCCTGACTCGATTGTAAAAAAGCCAATTTGCAAATCACAGACAATTTTACAGAGCAGAGGAGCCTATTTTGTGTGGTTTGAATTTGCTTCTGACAACTTCAGTGCTTGTTCTCCAGCACCTGTACCAGGGCAGACAGTGAGCCACCCTCAGTTAATGCTCTGCCATTCGAGACACTGCAAATCTCCATCAGCCCTCTCTTTTCCAGACTGAGGAGTCTCTAGTTTTCTTCACATGGAGGTCTCTGATTTTCTCCTTTATCCTCCAAATTCAGGCTCCAATTAATGCAGACAACAACAGACCGGTTTGGGTGGGAAGAGACCTTGAAGACCACCCAGTTCCAACCCCCTGCCATGGGCAGGGACACCCTCCACTGTCTCATAGTGCCCAGACCTGACAGGGTTCCTACGTGAGAATTCTGGATACACCCCAAGGCCCCCAGGCCTCTGTCCTGCCCAGCACAGGATCCTTTGGAGATGCCACCCAGTCTGGGTGCTGAGCAATGGGGCATTCACCCCCCTCCCAGACAGTCTGCCCCAGCCACCACCACCAGAAATGTGAGCAGGGGGTGGAATTCTGGTTAAGGGAACAGAACTTGGCCCATCATCCCTTAGGAATTCTTACAACTGACATGAACACTCTGTTGAGCTCCAGGAGCTGCCCCTTGAAAGGCCGAGAAAGGCCTGAGTGAGGAAAGGCTGCGTGGGGAACGTGCACTGCCCTTCTTTGCTCACCACAGGGCTATTTCCTTGCAACACACTTTGCCACTAGTTCCTTCAAATACTCTGTTTCATGAGGGATTGCTCAGCAGTTCTTATCTTTTCACATTTTTCACGTCTTGCATATCAAATTTCCAGCTCAGATTCCTCCACGACCAACAGAAAATTAGCCAAATGGGATATGAATATTTTCTAATTATTTTTTTTCCCCAAAACATCTCATTGAAAAGTAAACCACACATCTGAATGGGCCTTGTTAGAGTTTAGGAATCACTGAAGTCCAAGAACTGCAAGTTTTTGGAGTGGTTAATGCAATATCTGGAATATTACCCAAGCTGTCCCCCGTGCACTGAGCCAGGCTGCATTTCTTCAGCAGATTTAGAATGAGTCACATAAATCTCCTGCTCTGCACATGTGTCCCTACTCAAAGAATTTTCCTAAGAATGCTAGTTGAGGATTTTCAGGAAATTACAATAGTTTGAATGAATTTAGAAACAGTCCCATGTTTGGGATGTATCATAGTAGGCACTGCAGAAAGGAAGCTGAGTAACACATTTAAAATATTCAATATATGGTATTTGATTAATGCAGGGTCATAACACTCAGCCCTTCAAAAGGCAGGCTGTTCACTCTCATGTTTTCACTACCATTTTACGGAAAAAAAAATATCATAATTCTACCAAATAACTATTTCAATCACTAAACCTGGAATTTAAGACATTTAGGAAACTCTCCAGAAGCATAAGCTTTCAAAATATATATAATTATATTCTTTTTGTGAGTGGAAACTGCTTTTCCACTTCTTGACCACTGAAAAAGAAATAAATATTTTATCAACTTAAGTTGCTATTTGTTGGAGCTGAAGTTGTGTTGTATTAGATGATGATGCTTTAAGGGACTGAACATTAATTTAACTTGTGGAATCAGATACTGTTTGGAATCAACCCTTGAAGGCTGGGCTGTAAATAGCTCAGGGCCACCAGTGAGTGGTTGGATGCACAGAAATTCAGGTTAAAGGGGATAAGCAGCAGGATCCCAACCCAACCCAAAGTACTCCCTTCAAAGAGCAGGAGCACCCCAGACCCATCTCACCCACCTCCCCCACAGCCTCACAAAACCACCTCCCTCTCGTTTGCAAACAAACACCCGCCCCTGGTGAAGGCAGCAAACCCAAAACAGCCCCAGGGACGTGGGAGATGGGATCCCACCCAACCCAACCTCTGGGAGATGGGATCCCACCCAGTCCAACCTCCGGGAATCTTATCCTGCTGTGCCTTCCAGGAGTTGTGTGTCTGGGCTGGAGTGTTATTTCATAAAACTGATGTTCCTCCCTGTCCACGAGGCCTGTGCTGGAGAGTCTTTGCTGCCCATTTGCTCGAACCCTGAGAGGAATCTCAGTGGAGTGTCAAAGTCTTGGAATGGGAAAGGCTCATCCCGCTTACCTTCGATCACACACTGGTCAGGGATGGGAATTTTCCTCCCCATCTCTGTCACATATTCCTTCACTTTACCCAGGTTTTCCTTCAAGTGCAGGTAGAGCTTATCCTGGTATTCCACAGGTGCTGCCTCTGCACTTCCTTCCAGGGCCTTTTCTTGAGTGGATTCCGCCAAATCTGCTGATTCCGGGTAATCAACACTTCGGTGTGACACCAAGGAATTTCCCCGTGGCACTGCCTCGGGATCCACCCCAAAGGGCAGTTTCTCGTTGTCCTGGCTGATGTAGATCTCAGTAAAGGAGATTCCAGCAGGGACCTCCCCGCTCTCCTCGTCCTGCCCCCCCTCCGAGCTTGGCCCCTTGGTGCGCAGGGCGTGCAGGGCGAGGCTCTTGGACCTGCAAGGGGGGCAAGGAAAGGAGAAAGGGTTTGGAATAGAGGTAGGGCACCAAAACCACCCCAGGCCCTGCTCTGCCCCTGTGCAGCTGCCTCAGAGAGCCCAGCCCGGGGCTCACTCAGCCAGGGGCAAAGATCTGCTGGGGAATAAGCATTTCAAGAGCCAAGTTCAAGCCACAGCTTTAATAAGCAAAGGAAACTAAACAATATCCATATATCCCAACATCTGCATTCCATGGGTTCCCTTGCAGAGGGAACCTCTCTGCAAGGGTCTTATAACCCCAGGAGTGGTGTGTCTGCCTTATTGATCACACCACAAAAATGCCATCCAGCAGCACTTCTCTGGTCCAGGGCTCAGCCTGCAGCTTGTCCCGCCCTGGGATGGGGGGAAGAGTCAGGGGGTAGAAGTGACTCAAAGGGCAAGTCCTGGAGCAGGAAGGGCAGAGCTCTGTGGGAAGCTGCTGAGCAGAGGCAGCCTAAGGGCACACTGGGTGCACATTGTGTCCTTCAATGTGCATTGTTACTAACAACACCCCAAAAAAGGTCTCTGTACCCTCCTTTCCCTGATTTCTCTGTGCAGTTATTGTCCAATCCCTTGTGCTGTTTTAGGGCACACAAGAGATTAAATGGGTTGCCCAGAGAAGCTGGGGCTGCCCCTGGATCCCTGGAAGTGTCCAAAGCCAGGTTGGACAGGGCTTGGAGCAACCTGGGCTAGAGGAAGGTGTCCCTGCCCATGGCAGGGGATGGCATTGGATGGGCTTTAAGGTCCTTGCCAACCCAAACCATTCCATGATTCCATGATTAAGAAATATTTCACCCAGCCTTTGACCTCGTGGATATGAGACTTGGCTAAAATTAGGCTGATGGTGCCCGTAGGGATCATGCAAATGGACCAAATCCTCATTGTTTGGATAAAGTTTATGGCAAAGCTGATATCCATGAACCCCCTGACACACTTTACAGAGCCATACCTGTTAAATCTCATATCCTTCCTTTCTTCTTTGGAAACCTGACCCAGGCTGTATCTCCTCACTGAACCAGGAGTGCTGTTGTCAACATTTATTTTCTCTTCAAAAGCCTGGATTTTGACTTGAAGCTTTTCATCTTCCTCATTTCCATCCACGACAGATTTTAAGTCCTCCAGCGGTACAGGAGGTTCTGTTTCAGTGTCCTTTTCCACCCTAAGGAAGCAGAGAGCAGAGATTTACCCCTGGCCCACTGTTCACAGTGATGCTGATGCTGCTTTTCTGCCTGTGACCTGTATCGTGGATCTGGTAAAATAAATATGTTTTAGCAGAGATTCCCTTAGATTATTTTCAGGAACATCTTCTAGATGAATGTCTCTGATGGATCAGAAACACTGAACAACTCTGACAACCCTGGATTAGAAACTCCATGTGCTGTATCTCCATAAGCAAATCACAACTCTTCCTGATTGTCCATTGGAGAAAGTTTTTCATCTGAACTCAAACCATCCTCCCAAGCTTGCTAAACACTGACTTATTACATAATTTTCACAAAGCAAAAGTCAAGCAATTTTCAGAGTTTATAGAACTCTGTGGTTTTAAATGTTTGACCAAAGTACATGAAGTTCTTACCAAATTACTGCACCCTGAGTAAGAAAAATATAATTTAAAACTCAGCAGAAACAGGCTCAGGAAAAGTTCTAAGCAATGTCACTGTAGTTCAGGAATGAGAAAATGAAGAGTTAAAATGAACAGGACAAGTAGTTTTGGTTTAAATTTGTTATGTCAGTCTTAAAATCCCAGAATTAAGGATTCTTAGAATGGTTTGGGTTGGAAGGGACTGTAAAGCCCATCCAGTCCCACCCCCTGCCATGGGCAGGGACACCTTCCACCAGCCCAGGTTGCTCCAAGCCCCATCCAACCTGGCCTTGGACACTCCCAGGGATCCAGGAACAGCCACAGCTTCTCTGGGCAACCTGTGCCAGGGCCCCTCCACCCTCTAACTAGAGGAATTTTAGAGAACTAAGGGGTCCTGGACAGTATTTACTTTTTAAACTCTACCCACAGCTTTAAACAAAGTTTGTTTTGTTTCTGATCATTTCTTTGTTTGATTTTCTCTCTCTTTTTTTTTTTTTTGTATGTTTCCTGATGAACAAACATCTGAATAGCTAAATCTGTAAAATCTGGATATATAAAACCACAAATGAGAGTTTTAACACAGCACTTCCAAAGCAGCAGAGTCTCAACAAGTCACGCTCACAGTCGGGGGGCCCATTAAAAACTCCCCAAACTGCAAATTACCAATTGTACAAAGCATGTTTTTAAAGAAACAACCAGAAATACTGCAGCACAAAATGCACTTTTTCATTTGTTTTGATAAAGGCAGCTCAAGGATATTTCTCAGGGGAGCTGGCGAGTTTTGTCTTGTTTTTAATTTAAGCAAGATCTCGTAATATATTAACACCGAGGAGCACTTTAAAAATATTCTTCTGTAATAAAGAACCTTGATATGACCTTTGCTAACAAATCTTTCTGGGGATGTAGGACAAGATTTAATTTATGGGGAAGCTGTCACTCCAACAGGACTCCCAACACTGCTCCCATTGTGGGAGCTGAGCACTAAGGAAAATGTCTGTTCCATATGGAAATACATGGAAAGCCTCTGCTCACAGAGAGGGGATTGATGGACTGGGGGGGGTTGTGAATGACAGACCCAAACCAGGAAGCCTTGATGAAGTTTGGAAACAAAAATGGTGTTTTAGAACAGCACCTCTCTTTGTCCAGTGTTCTCCTGTTGGGCTCCGATGGCTTCGGGAAGGGAACACAAGGAAATACTTCTCCTAAAGGATCATGGAATTGTTAAGGTTGGAAAAGACCTCAGAGAAACATGTTAATGAATCCTACTTTCCACGTGTGGAGCAGAAAGAAGTCACTCCTCAGGGTGTGCAGGGTGCAGTTCTCACTGCCTGGTGCTCCTCAAGCCACCACCTGGTTTTTGACCCTGTTGGTGCCCAGGATTTCGGAGCAGGGGAGCAGGAGGGATCCCGAGTGCCCATCCCTGGGGACCATCTGCTCTCACGTGTGCCAGCTCTGCACTCCCACCAATCCCTGGGGAAGCCACGAGCACCAGCCCCAAGCAGGATGTTCAGAGGGGGGGGCCTGGCAGCCCTTCCTGCTGGGCCCCCTCCCAGCCCCTGCAAAACAAACCATTGTTTAAAATCTTGGCAGGAGGCTTTGGGGACATTGCTGAGGTTGCTGAGCAGGATCAGTTTACACCCAAGCTCAGCCTGTTTTCGGGATGCACGAGCTTGTGGGGGAACCACAATGACCTGCCCTGAGAGATGGCACCAGGCTGCTCATCACTTCAGGCTTTGAGATTCCACGTGCAGAGGGAGCCCAGTGCACAGGTCACCAGTTCAAGGGTGGTACATGAGTATGAAGGATAGGAAGGACATTTTTCCAGACCATTATCAGCATCAGAAATTGAGTTTTAGGGAAAAAGAGCATCACAAACATAGATTGCTAAAAATACACTCGAGGTGTATTTTAACCAAGCCCTGGTTGCTGCCAGGGCTTCACCTCTGAGGGGATGGAGGCAGCAAGAATGGGTTAATTGTGGGTCCTTGTGGTTTGCCACTGGACAGACATAATCACTGATCACCTCCTCAGGCAGGACACAGGTATGAAGAAGGCAAGTGGTGGAGAAAAGATCATGGAATGATCAGATTGGTTTGGGTTGGAAAGACATTAAAGCCCACCCAGTCCCACCCCCTGCCATGGGCAGGGACACCTTCCACTAGCCCAGATTGCTCCAAGCCCCGTCCAACCTGGCTTTGGACACTTCCAGGGATCCAGGGGCAGCCACAGCTTCTCTGGGCAACCTGTGCCAGGGCCTCCCCACCCTCTGAGTAAAGAACTTCTTCCTTGTATCTAATCTAAATCTCTCCTCTTTCAGTTTAAAAGGTAATTTCATGCAGCCACGACACTGAGATGGGCAGCATTGGTGGAGCCAGGTGTGCTCAGTTCTTACCCAGATCCAGGGCTTGGAAGTGTCTCCAAATTTCCTTCCTTGCCTTTTTTTAATTGACTACACTACACTCCTAGGCTGGATAAGTCCATTAAAACTCTATATGTTCTTAAAAAGCACCTCTGAGGCTGAATAACTTGCAATTTTGTGACAGTAAGGGGCACCAGAGCATGGCCTGGTTTTAATTATGCTCTGCACTCCCTGCATGTAAAATTCCCTGGGTCAAACAACCCCGAGCCAACCGTGGCTCCAAAGGAATCGGCTTCCTCTTATGTAAACACCCGAGTTTTGGGAGGAATGGTTATAATCCAGCCACACATTTTAAAACCCTATTTCCCCTTCACAGCACAAATACTCTGGATTGCTCTGAGTTCAGTGGCTGCAGCAGCTCCAGAGCTGGGAGGGCATTTCCATGCCAACATCTGGACCAGTCCCACTCACCAGGCACAAATCAGAGTCAACTCAGCTTAAATCAGCAGAGAACTCTCATTTTAGCCTTGTCTGATTGAGCTGATCCTTTGTTCCACACAGGCCTGAAACGTAAAACCAAAGAGCTAAAAACTGTAACTGTGAAAAATCGGGGGTTTGCTGTGATCTCTCCCAGACACGTTGAGACAACACAAGGAGCAAGAGGGCTGAGGAGGGAATAAAATTTAAAATCAATAAATAAGTAAATAAAATCGGGGGCAGATGGAGAATAAAAAAATCATCTGTAACCACACTCGTGAAGATGATGAAGCTTCTTCTCCTTGGCAAAGCAAGTCCTTAACAAAGGGGATTTTAGAGAGAAACAGGGAAACCCAGCAAGGTTTTAATGAAAACCTTCTCTTGTTTTTAAGTGTTTTTTTTTTTTTTTATCAGCTCTACAGATAAATGTTAAGCACAGAAGATAATAAGGAGTGGGAATATGGGAATATTTTAACAAATAAAGTAATTTTTCAGCCATAAATTGAGGGACCATGATGGGTTGTATAAATTATTACTGGGCCTCAATCCCTGTCCTGGTCCTCTGCAGTTCCCAGAATACATGACATCCCTCTAGTCCCTTCACCAAGTGACATCTGGCTGCCTCTTTTTTCCAGTAAACTTGGCTAGTTTGGAACAAGTGTGTTGTTTCATGCTCACTCTGTTATCTCCACTTGGCTTTGGCATTATCTCCAAGGATATTTTTCATAAACGAGTGCCGAGGGCTCGTTTCCATGGAGGGCTTTCCCACCAGGTGAAGTTTGGACATTTCTCACAGCCCTGCAGTAAAGGGAGGGACTCTCTCCTGGTTCCTTTTTCATTTTTAACTCTCTCCAGGACACCAATTACTTGTTTCTCCAATGACCTCAGTGTTTTGGCTCCAGCGCTCCCAGCCTGGCTCCAAGGCTGTCCTTCATGGTTATGGCTTTTCTGACATCTGGGTTACATTTTTCCAGAGAATCACTATTCCTTTGTGCCCTCGTGACCTGTGTCAGCATACACAACTCTAATTATGAGTCCCTCACTAATTAAAAGTGACTACCACCGTGCATTTAAATAACACCTACATTCTCACCCTGAGGAACGCCACAACGCTCCCAACCCTCCAACCTTAGGATACACACTCAGAAGCAGCTGAATGAGCAGAACATCTCTTTGTAGATGCCTGATAAATTTTTTCCAGCCTGTTCTTAGGCAAACCTTTACCAGGGAGTTAAGCCAGTCATTGTTCTCATCACCCTCGGTGGGTATTTTCTAGAAAAACTCAATGATAATTGTGTGGGCTGACTTCCCTGGTTGATTTTTGACTGTGCTTACCTGAGACATGGCTTTTTTCATGGCAATTTGAATAGATTTAATATGAATTTATGCTGCCTCACACGGCCCTGAAGGGGCTTTGTCACACAAACACTACCTGGCTCCTGGTGTGCTGTCAGCCTCGAGCTGCCGGACGAGGAGCTTGGCTATGGCAGTGAAGCTGTTGCTCATGCGATAAATGTCCCTGCTCTGGGGGCCCAGGATGCTCGAGAAGGTGTCGGTGAGGCTCTTAATTTCCAGCAGCAGAATATGGTGAAATGAGTGCTCCATGTTGGCCAGCTGGTTCACCAAGTACAGCAGGCAGGTCCTGGCTCTCTCCTGGGCAACACGGGGAGATAAGAAGAGTTTTAAACACATTAATTCAGTGTTTGCTTGTGCAGGGAGGTTTGTGTGGTGCTGCCTGAGTCACTGTCCCTGGGGAAGAGTGGCTGCCCCACGATAACCAACTGTGCCTCAAACACAGTTTATTTGTGTGTGCTGCTACGTGACTTTTGTTCCTCTTGGTATTACCTAACCCAGCCTAACTCAGTACATCTTGTCTCCTCCTCAGACCTCGAGCCAGAGTCCCTAAAGGCCCTTTGAAGGGCCCTACATTCTTCTAGTTGGTAGGTCAGCCTGGCTCAGGGCACCAGCAGCACTGAGCTCCCCTTTCATCTGTGCTGAGCCTGGCTCAGCTACTTCATCGAATCACAGAATGGTTTGGGTTGGGAGGGACCTCACAGCCCACCCAGTGCCACCCCCTGCCATGGGCAGGGACACCTTCCACTGGACCAGGTTGCTCCAAACCCCATCCAACCTGGTCTTGGAAAGAGAAAGGCACAGAAAAAGAGTGCAGGGAGGTGAAGCTGTGGCTGCCCCATCCCTGGAAGTGTCAAGCGTGGATGAGCTGTAAGGTCCCTTCCAACCCAAACCAGTCTGGGATTTTATGATTTTCTGGACTCCTTTCTGGGCCTGTTGGGTGCTGCTGACATTTAGCAGTGTCACCCCAGGGTCTGTTGTCACCAGTGCTGCCCACAGAGAACAGGGCTCCTCCAGCACAGGGGGGCAGAGCAGTGAGGGGCAGGAGCTGGGGTCCTGTCAGCATCTCCTCTCCCTAATGGTGAGAGGTTAAAGGACCTCATAAATCACAGGGGTTCTCTCCTTCCACAGCATTTAGTTTAGGAGCAACACTCAGATTAGAGCCGTGACTGACAGCACAACAAAGGGAAGTTTAAATTGAGATTTCACTCTAAGATGTCTTCACACGCTGCCTGGCACGGGCTGTCAGTCACTGCCAATGCCCTGGAGTCTGATGTGCCCTCTGCAGCCAAAATGTTCCCACCCAGTTCTTCAGGGCAATGTGCTTTCCCCAGTTTATCAGCAGAGATCACATCCCCCGCAAATCAGGATTAAAGGGGGTTTGTTTCAGATCATAACATTAAACACGTAAATATTTTCTAGCAGAGACACTTTATCATCTCTGCCTGGCCAGGACACACAGCTCCAGTGCCAGCTGTTTCTGTGTCTACGTGTCCAAATTCCCATCCTAAACCAGAAGCTTAAAGGAAGAATCACAGAATGGTTTGGGTTGGAAGGGGCCTTAAATCTCATCTTGTTCCACCCCCTACCATGGGCAGGGACACCTTCCACAGACCAGGTTGCTCCAAGTGCCACCTGACACCTCCAGGGATAGGGAACATCCAGCTTGACCCTGAGCACCTCCAGATCAGGGCTCCCCTGTTTTGTTATAGTTGTTCTAAGTACATTAAGTTCCACAGCCCTAAAAATACCTAAAAAAGCAGTGAAGAAACCAGCAATTAACTCAGGAACTCACATCAGATCCTCCGCTGGGTAGCCAGGTATGGCTTTGCTCAGGGAAACCCGGGATAAATGGGAAAAGAGCATCGGACAAACTGCTTCCCTTCAGCCGGGGCGGGGGGAAGGTCCAGCTACACCCTGGGCTGGGCTGATGTGGCTGAAGGAGCTTTTTCCTCAGTGGCTTGAAAGAGGTTGACTTTTATTTGAAAGACAACCCTCCCCCCAAGAGATAAACACAGGCTCAATTAACATTTAAAACACATTTTTTGTTTCCTAAACAAACTGTGCAGCAGACAAACTGGAGGAGCAGTTTTTGACCATTTTCCTGTCACTTTGATCCAGCTGGAGTGTCTCCAGCCTCGCTGAAATGCTGCTACTCGCCTGGAGTGAGGTAAAAGAACAATAAACTCTGAGTAACATAATATGTAACTGTTATACAAAACAAAATTACAGCAAAATAGCTCAACATGAAAGCAGTCATTATCCCTGCCCCAATTCTTATCCAAAATTCTTCAAAAAGCCTATTTGGATGTACAGAGCCCGTTGTGATTTTAACAGGGCTTATTTGATGTATTCATGTGTTTTTTTCATAAGCAGCCCTTGCATTTTATGGCATTACATCTGCCAGAAGGTGAAGATCTAAAATACAAGTGATGAGGTGTGGCAAAGTGTTGTGCTTTAGCTTAAAATCAGGCTCAGGAGACCACAAAAAGAGATCACGAGGCTTTCAGAAGTCGGTTAAAACTCTCAGTTGGTTCAAAACACACAGTTAATGGGAGAAAAAATACATTAAAATGTCCAATTGCCCTCTCCCCCAAGATGGTGTTTTGCTTTGCACAAATTCATGGTTAAGGGACAAGTTCTGATTTCAGCTTCACCCCTGAGCCTGTCACTGACATCAGCAGAAGTGGGGGGTGTAAACAAGGGGCAACCTTTAGAATAAAGGGATCTCTCTTCAGCCAGAGCTCTCATCTCTCCAGGGGTCCCTCGGCACTGCCAAGGTGGACAGAGCGGCTCGGGGGCAACACAAGAGGTTGTTTTTGGGAGCCAGCAGAAAGGATTTGCTGCTCACACCCACAATCCATACCACAGAGGGCCAAGCCTCGATCCTTGCCACCTCTCTTCCCCAAGCAGACCTTCCAGTGAAGTGAAACATCAACAACTAAAATTCCAGCACTGCCATCGCTGTTCCCTTCCCCGCTTGTTTGGCTTGGCCGGGAGGGAGATGCCGAGTCACGCCTCAGAACGAGCAGCATTCCTGTGGCACAGCCCCGGGACAGGGAAGGGGAGAGGGGCAGGAGTGAACACGGAGGGTTTCAGGAAGGCATTGGCACGGGGGGCTGAGACACGAGAGCAGCAGCAGCACTTGTGCGTGCAGGGACTGCTCTGCTGCTTCCCCTGAGTGGGACAAACAAAGTGCAGCAGTGACTGAGCTTTGCAGTGACACTGGAGATCAGAGTATCCTTTTAATTCATTCTCATTGCTCCACAGGAGCCTCTAAGATCTGCCTGGCTTTTATGATGCCAGATGTGGTTGTGCTTCTCTGCTGGCAGGCTGGCTGCCTGCCCTGCAGCACCAGAGATCCATGGCATTGGTTTTCCTTTCCGTCACAGAGTCACAGGAGGGTTTGGGCTGGAAGGGACCTTAAAGATCATCCCATTCCACCCCCTGCCACGGGCAGGGACACCTTCCTTAGACAGGGTTGCTCCAAGCCCCGTCCAACCTGGCCTTGACAAAGAATCATCTCCTTTTAAAGGAGAAAGAAATGCCTCCAAGGTTGATTCCTGAGGACAGGTGAGACCACAGAATCATCACATCCCCCAGGCTGGAAGAGATCTCCGACACCATCGAGGGATGGAGTGGGAAGAGCTTTAAAGTCCTTTCCAACTCAAACCACTCTAGGATTTTATGATGTTCCATAATTCAGAGAGATTCATGACTTCTATCTTTTCAGGGAGCAAAACACGAGGGGAGCCATTTGTCCCCTGTTGGAACGTTCCCCTCTGCCACCCTTTGCCTGCTGCTTTTCTCCATGTTCTCAAGTCTCAAGTGCAAGGTCCCCTGGGTGTCCCTGCACACACAGGACAAGGTGCCATTCCCCTGGACATGTGGCACTGGAATTGCAGCCTGCTGCTGAGTCAGCAGCTCCCTACAAAAATAAGACCCAGGACACAGTGCCAGCTACTCAACACTTACTACAGATGAATTACTCATCTGTAGTACTACGTGTACCCACATAAACCAACAGATTAAAAATATAAGGAGAAAAGATTCTTCAAATCAAGTCTTTGTAAACTTTACCTCAGGCTACAATTTCCAATAATATATGAAATACAACCTGGCCAGTGGGTTCCCTGCTTATTCTTGGTATTGGTATAAAACAATAACAACAACAAAAGGCAAAATAAATAAACTCAGCCCCTTTGAAGTAACAAACACGGCAGAAATGGAGCCTCAGAGACACTCAGATGGGAAGAGCTGGTTCAACACACTAAAACACAGAATTAAATCCCTCAGTTCTGATCCCAGCTGTGCTCAGCTCAGACTTAGCTGCTTATAAACTGTAAAGCTTTTAGGAGATGCTGACTCCTAAATATTAAATGCAGAATTGAACATGGTCACCTGCAGCTCTTGTAAAAGTCAGACTTGCTGGGGGGATGGAAGTAAACAAGGAGGCAACAACAAGCTGTATTTGGCTCCCAGTCTTCCATGGGATTTTGGCTTTCTCCCCCACAACAGAAATGCGATTCACAAAGCCAAACCAAATCTGGTTTTGATTCTTATGAGATAAATTTAATTTTAAATGAACATAAGGCTCAAGATCAGTAGAAACAGCAAGGGTAGTGTCTCCCTGTGCTGCACCCACAGTGATCAGACCCCCACGGCCTGGCCAATACACACCCAAAGTGAGATCCAAAGGGAAGGATGGGCCTTATGGAAACGAGGGAAGAGGTTGTGACATCCCCGTGTGCCAGTCGAGCTGTGGCACAGGCACGGAGCCAGCCACCAACTCCCAGCCCCAGGATTTAAGGGAATGGCTTTGAAAAGGGGCCAAAAGAAACTGTTTTCTCTGGGGACAAAGGTTTCCCTGGGGATTCTCCACCACTGATGAGCCCACAGTGTTGTCTGTGACTAAACACCTTCTCACAAAGGCCTGGAGGGACAGGACACAGGGAATGGCTTCAGACTGACAGAGAGTAGGGTTAGATGGGATATTGGGAAGGAATTCTTGGCTGGGAGGGTGGGGAGTCCCTGGCACAGGTTGCCCAGAGAAGCTGTGGCTGCCCCATCCCTGGAAGTGTCCAAGGCCAGGTTGGAGCAACCTGGGCTAGTGGAAGGTGTCCCTGCCCATGGCAGGGGGTGGAACTGGATGAGCTTTAAGGTCTCTCCAACCCAAACCATTCCATGATTCTGTGCCCTGGTAGGGCAGTCTGGCTACTTGTGAAGAAAGACATATTTAGACGTATCATTTTACAGGATTCAGAAAAAAACAACCCCCAAACCAACCTTTGTTTCCAAGCTCACCTCATCAATGTGCCCAACAGCTCCAAAGATCTTTGCTGTTTGCCCAATCAGACCTGGAAAACTCTCCCCAACCTCCTTCAGCGTCGGCAGAAAAGGGGCCAAGGCTGTTGGTTCATAGCTGGATATTTCTATGAGGATGTTTAGAATCAAGTCACTGTGGTTGGGGTCCCTCAAATGCCCAAATAAAAAGGGTAAACTCTCTGTCAGCACCTATTAAAAATCAGACAGAAACAAACTGAATATATATATTTTTAATTGGGAACACAAATAACCAAGAGAGATGTAACTGGAGTGATAAAAATAAACCACTAGACTTTGATTCAATAAAATAGTTTTCCACCCTTGCTGACCTTTGCATAGGGGTCAACCCAAGTTCAGCTCAACATATGGAATAAGGGTAAGTTTTAGCCTTGAAATATGGCAGTTATGCATAAATAAGTAAGGAAATGGCCAATTGTTCAAAAAAAAAAATCAAACCTCCACCCTTATATTTCCCTCCCTCCAGGCCAGACTATATTTTATTGATTAAAACAACAGAAGACTCAACCTTCCCCAATGATACAGTAAATTAAAGGACTTGTAGAAATTTTTGTTTCCATAGGAAACTAAAGGACGTGACAAGGTCAAGAGCTGGAACAGAGGGGAAAACAAAGGGCAAGATCCTCACTGCCTAAAAAACATGCCATGGGTGAGCTGTCATTTCTTGTAACAACCCAATTTTGAGGAGGCTGAGGCTTAAAATCATCTTACAAACAGGATGGAGTGTTTACAACTCTGCACTGAGTAATTAATTCTTGTGTAAACACACATGCACAGTAATGCACCTCAGATCCAATGGGACCTGCATCTGTGTGAAAGACATTTTGACACAGAAGTGGGGCATAAAACAACCCATTCTTCTAGTTTTCCTTGTTGAGGATTATCAGTTCTCATCAGTTCCTAACTCATTTTAATCTTCCTTGACATGTATTTCAATACAGCTCATGTCCTCTGACAGAAACACAGTTATGGGAATTCACACTCCCATGGCAGAGGAAGAGCCAAAATCATTGAAAACAAATGGTTTAACCCAAACCTTTTGGTCCAGCAGCGTCGCTGTTATGCTCTCCTTATGACTAGCTGGAGAATTTGGAACGGAATCACAGAATTCTGTGGAAGTAGCATGGGAAGTCACTGCCTGCATGTCGTAAGGACGGCTCACTGCTGGCCCAGACCTCCCCGAGCCATCTGAACACTACAGCCCTGCAGAAGGGGGGCAGTGAGCCACCCCCAAGGTGCTTACCCCGAGTTCTCTGTTCCTGGCCATGGCCTGGAGGAGCCTGAGGAGGTGGAGCTGCTCCGCCTGGTCCAGCTGGGCCGTCAGTGCCAGCAGGTCCCGCAGCCGGAGCGCGATCGGCCGCGGCTGCTGCTCGTAGAGCGCGGGCAGGACACGGAGCAGCATCGAGTTCCCTGGGGACACAGCAAGGGCAGGGCAGGGGCTGCTGGTGGGCAGTGCCCTACACCTGCAGAGAGCCCCACAAAACCTGCACACACCCACAGACACCAGTTCTTGAGAATAACACCAGTTCCTCCCCCTGCCGTGGGCAGGGACACCTTCCACTATCCCAGGTTGCTCCAGGCTCCAACCTGGCCTGGAAGGATCATCTGTACAAAACCAGGGAGGCATAAAAAGCACCGTAGAAAATTACGTACCTAGCCAAGAAGCCCAATAAATAACCTAAATAGAATGAATCAGGTGTAACAACAGAAGTGTAAAAAAAAAAAAAACTATTAATTATCATTTTATTTCTCAAGTGCAGTATCATGAGGATGCTGCTTAATGAGCTCTCAGATTGGGATGATGCTCAATTGAGCCCTAGACCAAACTAAGTGTGATTTCAGTTAATGAAGAGAAAAAAGAAGAGAAAAAAGAAGAGAAAAAAAGAAGAGAAAAAAAGAAGAGAAAAAAAGAAGAGAGAAAAGAAGAGAGAAAAGAAGAGAGAAAAGAAGAGAGAAAAGAAGAGAGAAAAGAAGAGAGAAAAGGAGAGAGAAAAGAAGTGAAAAAAATAAGAGAAAAAAATAAGAGAAAAAAGAAGAGAAAAAAGAAGAGAAAAAAAGAAGAGAAAAAAGGAGAGAAAAAAGAAGAGAAAAAAGAAGAGAAAAAAGAAGAGAGAAAAGAAGAGAGAAAAGAAGAGAGAAAAGAAGAGAGAAAAGGAGAGAGAAAAGAAGTGAAAAAAGAAGTGAAAAAAGAAGAGAAAAAAAAGAGAAAAAAGCTCTAATTCTCCTTTGTTGAGATTCAGGTTTTCACATGAAATAGGCAGCACATGGAAAGAATAGTTGGTTATTAAGAGAACTAAATATGCACTTGTACAGAAATAGTTAAGGATGCCATTTCCAGGAGGAGAAGGGAGCCAGGGAGAGTCGACTGCAGGCAGAGCTGAACCCTCTCTCACACGGTTCCTGAAGATGTCTGTGCATAATTCAATTTGAAGGCCAGGCTCATACCAAAATCCATAACCCCCCAGTGCTGTACACGCCTGCCTCCGTGGATTTAAGTTTCACTTGAGCAACATATGGAAAACATCTGCGTGTTGCAACCTAGTGTGGCTCCTTTCTGCAAAGCCTTGGAAGTGCTCACGGTCTCTTTGGATTGGTTTCCAAGAGGAACTGCTCTCTGGCCTGCTGCTTTTTCTCCCATTTAAACCTGAGCCATGTAATTTGGGAAGATAAGCAGATCTCTTCATGGATGGCAGAAAAAGGATATTTGGGTTCAGGCTGGAGCACGCCGGGCTCCTGCCAGAGACAGCAAACGCACCCCAGGACACGGCTGGGTCTTGGAACGTCCCCCCTGGGCCAAGAAACGAACGTAATTCATTGCAGGTTCAGACAACTGTGAGTCAAACAGCTCGTAATGATCCCTCAGGGGTCCTTCACCTCCGGGGGAGTGTCTCCAGCCAGCCACACTTCTGCATCCTCTCCTGCCTGGAGAATCCCTGGCTCCTCCCTGAAGGCCACTCTGAGCCCTCTGTGCAACCAAAGGCAAGGTCAGAGCCCACCTCTCACCCCGTGGACACGGCAGATTTGGGTCTTGTTCTGTTCTGTGAACAATCACAAAGGCCACTGGCAAATGAAAGGGATTTGTTGATGAATGACCCTAAAAAGATGAGCAAAATGCTCCATTCTGGCCATTTTCTACCCACGTTCTCTGGGCAAGTCTCTTCCAGATGTTACAAGTGAATCCACCTAAAAAGTGTCACCACCAAGGCACTGTGGGCACCAACTCACCCACAGGGAGAACTGGGATCTCGGGGAAAGGTTCTTCCCCCAGAGGGTGGTTGGGCACTGCCCAGGCTCCCCAGGGCAGTGGGCACAGCCCCAAGGCTGCCAGAGCTCCAGGAGGGTTTGGACAACGCTCTCAGGGACAGGGTGGGGTTGTTGGGGTGTCTGGACTGGATGGTCCTTGTGGGTCCCTCCCAACTCAACTGTGATTCTGTGACAAAAAGGTGAGAGGATGTATTTACTTGAACTTTTCTAGACTCACACCATAGTTCAAAATTGAAACGCTTTGCACTGGATACACTAAGAATTATTTTCCCTCTGGACAACGTCGTGCTCGCAGAAATAAGTCTTTTCTTTGCACTTGCCCTTGTTTAGTTTCCACTGGAAGTTTTCTGCCCATATGGAGCAGAGCCCTTAAGCTCCAGTAGAATTTCAGCAGCTGTAACAATGGCAAAAGAAGAAATTCCCCTATTCCTGGACAGGCAAAAGTCATCTCAACTATGGAAGTGTGGTGGGAAGGAATTCAACAGAGAGCAACAAAAATAACAGCTTTAAGCAAGCAAAGACACTAAAACCTGGGACATGCTACTGCCTAAGCTGGGATGTCACAGATAGGAAGGGATCTGGAAAGTAAGACTAATTATTTAATCTGGGAAAACAAGCCTTTGAAGTGTGGGCTGTATCAGGGCAGTGATGCAATTGGATGTGACACAAGGTGATGGATTTCAGCCACAGAGCCTCTCTGAACAAAAACCACTTTGTGCAAACACAGATTTGGGCAGTTTCCTGAAGCCAACACTGCTGGGTTTATATTCACTAACCAAGATAAATGAAAAGCAAAGGCAATTTAGGAGCAAACCCATCCCTTTGCAGCAATATTGAAGTGACCTCACTGACAGGGAATTGCTTTTAACTGGATAACCTGTGTATACACACGTGTAAACAATCCCCCTGATACCACAGCTCGTGTCTGTTCTCCACAGAGCTCCTGAAAGGTCATTAGGCACAACCCAATTGGCTACTCTTTGGTATTTTCATGTTTGAGTTAGCTCTGAGTACCTCTTGCTGTTTGTTTGTCACACCTTTTTTTGTCTCTGAGGGATTTACACACACAGCTCACCCACCTTTTGGTTCTCAGATCACAGCCAGAGGTGATATTGTGTGTTACAAATAATTCACTTTTCACCAATCTTGCTTCATCTGTCTCAGACTAAACCAAGTGCCTGAAAACACATTTGTTGTCTGAGAATGGAAAAACATCCTACTCAGCTCCTTAACTACCTTCCTTCCCTCTTCCATCCCCACCTCCCTTACCCCCAATACTTTCCAGATTAGATTTTCTCAGACTTTCCAACAGACCACACACTGGGAATTATGCAACTCAGGCACAAACCAGCCTCCAGTTGGGGACAGCTGATGGTTGAGAGGCAGGAGGAGGAACCACGATGGTGTGGGTGTGTCGTGGTGGTGCCAGCCCAGCCCAGCCCAGGCCACAGACCCCTTCCTGGCTGCCTTCCTTGCACCCAGAAATGGAAAAGGTTGCCTTGTGCTCCAGCCCTGCTCTGCCCATCCCAGCAGCACAGAGAGCTTGGGAAAAGCCACGAGCCTGGGAGCACGTGGCAGTGTCACATGGACAGAGGAGCTCTCAAAGTCCCACAGCTGGGCTTGAGCCTCACTCCAAAGTGGGTGTCCAAAGACAAAGCCTGTGCACCAAGAGTAACCCAAGTTAGGCATATACCTACTTGAAAATCCCAGGATCACTGAGGTTGGAAAAACCCTCCCAGCCCATGGATCCCCCCTGTGCCCCATCTCCACCTTGTCCCCCAGCCCAGAGCACTCAGTGCCACAGCCAGGCCTTCCTGGGACACCTCCAGGGGTGGGCACTCCAAACTTCCCTGGGCAGCCCCTGCCAGTGCCTGACCACCCTTTCCAGGGAGAAATTCCTCCCAAAAATAACAATCACCTCTACTTTACCAGACTTCCCAGGTTTCTAAAATATTGCTTTGACGTTGCTATTTATTATTTACACTCTCAGGAGAGCAGCTGGAGGGCCCACAGTGGCAGGAACCCCCATACCAGAGAATCACAGAAGAGTTTGAGTGGGTTAAAAGCTATCCAGTTCCCTCCCCCTGCCATGGGCAGGGACACCTTCCACTAGCCCAGGTTGCTCCAAGCTCCATCCAACCTGGCCCTGGACACTTCCAGGGATGGGGCAGCCACAGCTTCTCTGGGCAACCTGTGCCAGGGCCTCACCCCCCTCACAGAGAAAGATTTCTCCCCAATATCCAAGGCACAGGTAACCCAGGTTTGCATGAGCAAAAGCAGAGACACAAATGGAAAGGGAACACACATTGCAAGTTAGATATAATTACATGTTTGGTTTTTTTTTTTTTGCTATTCTCTGGATATTTCATAGGCAATACATAATTTGTACCATATTATCCCTCATCTCACCTGAGCAATGCATCTCTGAAATGATTAATGGCCCACTGAACTGATGAGATTATGGAATTCGAACCAGATTAGCACCAATAATCCTTCCACTACATTAATGTCTTATCCAACAGTGCCTTGTTTTGCTTTTTCAAAGGTAACAGACGCAGCTCTGACCGTACAGCTGCTGATTTACACACTCCCAAAACCAGATCCAGCACTAACAGATTATCCACACAGTTATGGGGGGGTTAGGGGTAATTAGGGCTGGAAAAGCAAAACTCCAACAAGCTGTCCTTAAGAGTTCTCTTTTACTGCTTAAAGCAATAAACTGTGAGTATATAATAGAATTTATTATGTAACATCACATAACCATCCAAAAAAGCTGCACTATTTAGTCAAACCAGCCACGTGTATCCAAAGCAGCTCCAGGTATGTTTATTTTCCTCGCAGTCCCCTCCCCAGCCCTGGCACACACCGAGCACAAACCGAGCTTGCAGGGAGCGCTTTCTTTCCCCCAAATAACACAGCCCGGCACAGCCAATCCAGGCAGCGAACTCCGAGTGCTTCCACCCCTGCATTGCTGCACGTCCCAGAAATCCGCTCTCGGGGGAAGCGGCGGCTCCAGGAGCAGCTTTTTCCCCGCTTTTCCCCTCCACGAGTCAGTACATCCCCCAGTGGAACCTGGAAGGCTGGGATTGAGCAAACTGCACGCCCCCTTCTCTCCCGGCCAAAACCAACAGCCCCGAGTGCTCCGG